AAAACAGCAGACTTTCCTAAAGAAAAAAAAAGGTGAAGCGTCTAATCGCAATGTGCGAGCGACAACAAGACGCAGTTGCTTGGTTATTGGGTTCCTCGACGATGGCTTTTTAACCGGCAGGATGACTGTGCTAATGACGAATTCTGAATAATGTGGAATGAAGCGTAAGGTACTATCCCTACTTTTATGTGGAATTTGGAATCAAACTTTAATAAATTTCAGAATATTGAATCTCCAGGCCGAGTTTCAAACCTGGAAATATCAGAATACAAAGCAATAATGCTGCCAACTTAAGTGCTGTCTATGTCCTCAGCTAGGAAAGAGAAATTTCGCTTTGTCGTACTACCTCACAAAACTGCTTAGAGGATAGTATGGGACATTCAAGAGCTTTAACTGAACGAAGAAGACAGAAATTCATCTGCCTGTGAAATCCAATTAAACTGCAGCTTGATATTATATGCAGAATCGAACAAAATGGAAGGATAATGTTAAAAAGGGACTAATAAATTCGGCAGGACAATGGTAGGACAAATGTATTATCAGTACCAAGGAACTCGTCTAGAATTCTGCTACAAGAGATGAAAGAAAACCACAAAAAATATTTTGTTTCAGAATCACTTGTGGCTGAGTTTGACCACGGTTATCTCTAGACTCCTCGTGACTGGAGTTACAGCTGAACTAATCTGAGCGATCAGTATTCAACTCGATATTCATAAGGATTTGGTTAGATCTCCGAGTAAATTGGAACCACTTTTCCATCGTCTCTTTCTAGAATTTAATTTTGCATCCAAATTGTACTGAGATGTTCTAATTTAAAATCGTATGAAACTTGTATACAGAAGTACCATAACGTACAGCCCATGGCAAATCACGTATGAACTTCGAATTCATTCATTCTTTTTTTCTTTGTCCTATTATGGTAGTAATATTTATGTTCGCATCACATTAAATCTTCTATATTAACCTAAATGCTCACACTAATTTCACAAGAGAAACAATGATAACTTACGTTATGTAAGCATACAGCCTAATTCTAAACAATATTTATAATGTATTCTTATACAGCTGCCTTTTTTTCTGGAAACACGAGGAAAAGCATCAGGTGAGAATATTTTTTGAATATCGTACTCAACTATTCAAGATCAACAAAACAAGATCTCAGTACTGGAAATGTACGATCTCGATCCCACATACTACTTGTTCTGTCTAATATTGTGTATTATTTAAAGGGAAATTTTAGATCTGATTTAAGAGTAAACTTCCGGATATGGCTATTTCTTGGTATACGTTTGGTTTTATGAAGCTCAAAATATATAATTATCGTAGGGTGAGGGGACAAGACGGCAAAAAGTCTACCTTAGCATGGAGAGTGTAACTGTCTTATACTTTGGAACCAGTCGGTTGGCATTTTAATGCAATAACTTTTGCACTACAGGTAGCCCTCGATTTGCACCGATTCAGAATAACGCCGATTTTGAAACCACAAAGTCAAAAAGTGAAAAAATTATTATTATCTATAACGTTTTACAATGTTTCTCGTACTGCATCTTATACTAAATCGTAATTCTTACATCGCTGATTTTGAATAAAAATTATAAACACAGTCATCTCTGCAATTACTTATGTTTCGTTAACGCGAATTTTCTCCAGTGAATCGATGAATCGGTAAAAGCTGTTTGTGAAATGCAAACTTTTACATATGCGAGTTTGCTCTTGTGCAATCGAGACCATAAGGCCTTATCGTAAAATTTTGAAAGAAAGAAAGAAAGAAAGAAGAAATCACGACAGTCCACACTACACGCCTTCTTTAAAAAAACACGACGATCCTCAACCACGGACTTCGTCAGAGATCTAACGCCGCCTCATCACGCCATCGCCGATTGTAAGTGTATAAAATATATTTTTGACGTAAATACGTCTATAAGGAAGGATCATTCGGCAAAAATGTGTTACGAAAAATGGAAAAGAAAATGGGGAACGAAAAAGTGTAACTTCACGTTACCTAGGAAACGTCATCTGTTTACTCGGCATTGTTGTTACCTATAAAACATTACATTAATTACCTTACCTTACGTTACATTACATTACGTACATTACTTTACATTACATTCATCTACCACAGACCCATCTTAAGCGTAACTAATTCAAGTTGATTAAGCAATGTCTTAATCAAACTTATCTCAATTGTAAAGCACCGGAACGCATGTCATTGACTGCACATTGATTTACATTATAAAAGAGTTTAAATTTACACCGATTCCGTTTACGCCGGTTCATCAAGGAACACATCCCCGGCGTAAATCGAGGACTACCTGTACACTGTACTCTGTGAACGAAAGGAACCATGAATCATAAGCAATGAAGGAACACCCTCACGTGTTAACCTCTGCAGTCGAAACGTAATGATTTCACATACGATGGATTGGGTTACCTCTGCTTGCTCCCTCCTCCCACGTATGTATTTGTGACGGCAGTCATCCATGATTGCGGTTATTTTGCGTCCATTATATGTCAGAGTTCAATGTCGTAGGTGCTCTAATTAACAGTGCTGAGTGGCCTGTCTATTTGCGTCATTGTTTTTTTATCTGGATACTGGGAACGACCCGTTCTTCAAGTGCCTGAGCACTGCGGGTCCCAACGTTTCGTTGGCTTTGATCTGTAGACATTCGGTAGGACTCCTTGGACGAGGTATTTTCTTATCGGCGAACTATTCTAGCATTTTTTTCCATTAAGCATTGTTTTACACTACGGACAAATATGGAGACTTTTGATTTACATTCCGCTTACATACGCACATTAAATTATTGAAATGGTTTAAATAAATGTTCTTTATTAATTTGTGAACAGTCGAAAAATGTAGTTTAATGGACGAAATCCCAGTATTATTGAAATACAATCGGACTGTAATGTCAGCTACATTGAAACTGACACATGCAAAAAGAGAAACGTTTAAGTTTTGTGTTAGTTTCACACTTTGTAAGTTTCCGACAAGTTTATTTTCTTTTACCGACGTAGAATTAACCTCCTGGATGGAGCTTTCATTCGACATGTTTTGATATAAGTGTCCTTTAAAAATAACCAGTTATCAGGGTAACCAGATTTCATGAGTAAGAAAGGGGAGACTGTGGAACATTGTCATATATTTACTCCTTCGTGCCATATACGTTGTATATCGCCAATATCTAACATTTGACTGGCATAATATAAACGTCTGGATGTTTGGATGTAGAAAGTTTTCTAGCAGCAACGAACATTTTATTTGTCACGAAATGTATCAATGGAGAAGAATATGTTTTGTATGATATCCGGACTCAGGAAAGAAATAACGCATCAAGCAAATAAAATATTGACCACCTTGAGTACTTTATGAACACGACGCCAGTTGTTTGTACATTATGAATAAGTGGAATCTGCATATATGTTGGACGATATTATCTTCCTAAGCAGAGTTGGCTGTTCTAGGAGATATTTATAGTAGTGAACTCACAAATAATCGAAGTATTTGTTTTATGAAAACATTCTTTATAGCTTCAATGGTAGCCATGTTTCTTTAATCTATCCACTGTGCATTCATGAACCAAAACATTGGCTTTATGACAAGAATGCAAAAGAAAGATTATGCTAATTTATTATCCTCGATGTAACAGTCAACGTTACAGCTTGCCACCATCTGATACACTTTTGAGGTCTTCATCGCTTTGAACACTTTCAACAAAAGTTCAGGTATTTTATGGTAGGTTAAACGTAGCAAAAATGAGAGGATATTACTGAAATTCATCCGATGACTGCAGTCAAATTCATTGAAAGAAACTGCATCTCCAGTCCATTTTTCTTTCCTTTGCGTAGGATATCTTGTGATTTTTAATTAAAATAACCCTACTTCATTTCTGTGTTGCAACATTTGACAAACTGTAAGACAGTCAAAACTTTCAATACTGAATTTGTGTGGTAGTTTCAACGACGAAATTAACACATTCACTCAGCTTACCTGAATAGCCTAATCGTCTGTCAAAATTTTGGGATGAAAATATTTTTCATCCCAAAATTTTTATGGCTCCACGGATGCCCTAAATCAGTGGGATTCAACCTGGGGTACGCGAAGACATCTTATGGTAAAAAATATATATTATTTTATGATAAACACTGAATAATCAGTAATGTAATTTATATAATTTATTTTAGATGTAGATTATATACTGTGTATAACTTGAATTAAACACCAACAACTTTTGGGGTACAGAGTTTAAGAGAAATTATATCTGGGGGAACAAAAAAGGTTGAATACCATTGCCCTGAATGGTTAGTTCACCGGTTACGAAATGAAAATAGCTCTTTTTTCGGAAGTAACATACCTCCGTTCGTTATGAAAATTTGCAACTCCCCACATTAGTTGCCCTTTCTCTACATAAGGTCATTTTTAAATTGAACTCTCTTTTGCTATTCCGCTATCCTAATACCCGATTAACCCTTTGGATCAGAAGACTGTCTAAATAATATTTAAACATTCAGTCCCTACTGCAACAAAAACCCGTGAATGCACTCTGTGGGTAAAATGCAGTCTTACTAATTGTTAAATGGGGCGGCATTTTAAATTACGCTCATTTTTCTTACGTTGTGTCGATATTGATTACTTTTGACCGACGCCGTATCGATGTCAATTGTCATTCTTAAAATGAGCATACTGGTATTATCGGTATTATCTTTCGCTAAAATTATCAGCGTCTCTGTTTCCACGGAGATGCTTAGCTGGTAGGACCAGACAAGACAGTGTTTTGTTTATTTAGAAATTCTCTTCTACCATGTTCATGAACCACATACTTAACGCCATTAGAATGTTGCTGATGACGCATTGCCAAGCTATGCAACATACATAACGCGACTGTCGCTCATTGACACCGGTGAGTATGATTTTTTTTAGTCATCCCTCCTTTCCCTTCCCCTTCTAGTGTGTCCGTAATGTTTGCGTCCGTGTCGGCTTGGCTCGGGTACAGTCGGGCTGTAGGACGGGTTACGAGCTCCGCTGGCTGGTAGTTCGTCTAGTCAGTCCGACTCTAGACACCGGCTGTGATTGTGTAGTGTTGGTACCAGCCAGTGAGTGTGATTTTAATCTTTTCTCGCGAGATGGGCCTTGTTTAGGATGCTGACTGCATCTAGGGCTGCTCCAACTGCCACGAGGAGGCACCATCAGCAGCAACAGGGCCCTGAGGAAGGGATTGACCACCTTTTTCTGTTGCCCGAGCGCGTTCTTAGCATGGACAGCACACAGCTGCGACAGGATCTGGCAGGCCTCGACTTCAGTGTTCATCTCCTCCACACTGCGCCTCAGGGCAACGTCTGGCTATGTAAGTCGAGCGGGTCGTCATCACGAGGCACGGTCGCACAAATGTTTTCTGAACAGATTTACTTTTGATTCGGTTCTGGTGGAAAGGGAGAATTGTACACACATTCAGCATTTGAAACCCGTTGAAGCTGGAGTTCGTCTTAACGAGAAGACCAACCCATAATAATTTCAGAGATGAATTGTTTTATATTTGAGGAAATAGTCATTGTTTACTCTGATAATTACATGAAACCAATGTGTACATCGCGTGGGTAAACATAATTATTAACTGTTAAAGCAGGTGGTATATATATTTACCACGACGTTTTCAATGGTTAATAGTGTGTGCCATAGTTTCGCCCCACGTGTTAGCTACAACCTACAGTGTGTTGCTGTATGTGGGTATAAAGGCGTGTGTGTGGTAACTAACCAGAAGAAGTTTAATGGAATAATGAAATGTGACCACTCTAGGGTATTTGGCACATTAAGAACATCGAAATTGAATGAATGCATTACTCGTTTCGAAGATAAGGTTTAAATAATGTGACGACAGGTTACGCGCCTTACTGCTGCTGTAACTTTCCAGGGATGTTTCGTTTTATTTTCGTACGAAGCGTTGCGGACTCAGAGCCGCGGTCTAGTTGGATCGTTCGGTGTCTAAAAATCGTGGAATGAATTGTGGTGGTATTATAGATCTTGCACTTCTGAAGACGGTATTTCAAACATGTTATCCGGATCAGGAACGCAGAAAGGTTTGTGGCGAGAGTCCAAGACGTATATTTCGGTCTCACCCGAGCCGTGAAAGCCTAGAAATGAACATTTTCCCAACTCGAATGTTGCTCGTAAGATGCAATGGGTCTCAACGTAACGCGACAGTTTGCTTGCTTCTTTGTCGATGTAATAACATTGTCATTTCCACAGAGAAAGTGATTATAAATGGAGATCCGGTATCACGAAAATCTTCGTCTGTGATCGAGGTTGGAACTGAGGACGTTTCGGATTACGAAACTCAACTAATTAAATGTAGAAGTAGCTTTGATTCTTTTCTGCGCGCGACGTTTAGATAAATGGTTTGCTGTCTTCTAGGTAATGATTACTTTACGTTGGGTCCTACCCTTACCGATCGGAAAAGGAAAAGATTTATGACTCGATGTTTGAAGGCAGTCAGTGACTAGTCACTGCCACGGTTTTTTCCCGCTTGTATGTGCGGGAACGCTGTATGATGTCGGTGTAATTCTAACATATGAACGAGTGATTTAATACAGACTTGTGAAACATGCCTTGCCATTTTATTTTAATACAAGGAAACGGTGGACGGAGTATCGTAGTCGTCTGCTTACACCGCGAGTGACGTCACTGTCTTCGTAATTTTCCTCTTCTGTTACACCGTCTTGTAAATTCACGGCGATGGACTCCAAAATATCATTATGCCCGATTTGTTTTGCAAAATCTTCCTCATACAGAGATTATGAATGGCTTTGCATGAAGCCCTGTCTCATTGCGTCACCCAGTCAAGCTCGTTGTTCGTTGATCTTTTGACTTACGCCATTGTGAAAAGTTTTATTCTTTTTTACCACTTCCTGTTTCACTTGAGGCAACACCAATTCTGTTTGATTATTTAGACAGTGACCGGGGGGGGGGGGGGCCACCTGATGCCCCACTTGTCGTGTCTGAAGGGTAGCACGTTTTAGACGCTCATTTATTTTTCCTGATTTTGGAAAGCGTATTTATGTTCCCGCCAGTCGATATTTTTTAGCAGAATTGTTTTGCATTTTCAAAATAGCTACCATTGCCCATGATTATTACACTACAGCGTTCGAAGTCATTTATAAATGAGTTCAGAAACCAATCTTTAAATTTGTCTGCTGTCAATTAATTATTATTTCCTTTTGTCGATTTACATCCAAACTCATTTGTTCTCTGGTATGAAACCTCTAAGAGCGGAAGCCACATGTCGCATAGTAATGCGGATTCTTTTCCGTAAGCCTCGTGGAGTTTTGGCAAATGGATTTTAATGTGTGGTTGTAGTTTACCCATAAAGCACAGGGCGATTGTCGCCAGAAACCATATTTTGGCGTATTGTTCGAGATAACGTCATTTGTGCCCCAACACTCAGCAATTTACGTCCGCTGTTAGCTTTTTTATTTCTGAATCCTACATGATTACGTACCCATTTTAATGCTTGAGAGCTTTGTCCCCCCCCCCCTTCCGCTCTGACAAAAAATAACATGTCATAGAAATCCAGTGCAATTTTACTCTCCGGGTTGTTTACCTTCCCTTGAAATATGTAACATAAGCCAGCGACAAACGGCGTGTTCTGTCTTACGTGGACAGAATCTGCCCTTCAGAAATCATTTTCCCGTTTTATACGTGTATATTTCTGTGATCAAAAGCGAACTTGGTTAATACCATTCTGAATGGTAGATATATTTCCTTCTCTTTACCACCCACACCAGATTCCAACATTCCTTCCAGGGTTACAGATTTGGGATCTATATAAACGCCCGAATGTTGGTGAAACCCAGGATTTACCAGACAAAGTTAGGTTTTACCAAATAGTGTTGGTAAAATTACGAAAAGAGAACTATTCGCGTCTTATTTCGGGGTCTTAGCAATAGGTAAATGTTAGGATTTACCATAAGGAGATAGTAAACATTTTAGGTTAGGTTAGCAAAAAAGGAATGCTTGTGCAAAGCCTCTGGCGTGTTATGCAATTCCTAATGTCATAATAGCTCACCTTGTTGCAACAAGCAAGTCTTGAAACAGCAGTGAAAAAATGTACTTTGATGATTGAAATGTCTCATATTTTTTATTTCACAATTTTTATATTTCTTGGATTTTTTCCTATTATTTTGACTTCTTTTAAACTTTTTAAAAATACAACTTAGATAAGGGACATATGTTTCTAAACCCCGAAATAAGACGCGAATAGTTCTTTTTTCGGCCTTTTATTAACACTGTTTGGTAAAACCTAGGTTTTGGTTCTTTTTATAGCACGCTATTTTGTTTCTGAGTAACACAAAAGTTGAATCTCCCTGGGCGCTAGATACTTTGCGTCTCCACAAATCCATGAATCACTTTATTTACGAATGTCAGACGCTTCGGATCTTAGATCACGATTTTATGAAGTCTGCTTCGTCTGTCTTCAGACACATTTGGAAAAGGCTGCTGTCTCTGAAAACTATTTTGTTTTTCGAGCCTGAATATGCAGTACTTAATAAACACGGCCACCACTACAATGGCATCACCGGTTGTAATCTGCTCTCCTGAAGACATTTACGATGTACCAACTTGGAGTGAAGCTTTAAAATTTGTGTATCAATGCAAATGGGCAATGGTACGAACTTTTCAATTAAAGTATACCCAACTGTTCATGAAATTTTCGATAGCGACACGAACCCCTTCGTTGGAAAGTTGCAGTCTGTTGGCCAGAGATCCATATCAGTTGACCAGACTGAAAAGAAAAGGTAACTGTTGATAACATACATGTTTCGTCATCACGTTCGGCAACTCTTAACGCATTTTGTGACGTGAAAGATGACTAACGCGTGGCGCACACATCACCACAAAGGACGATAAAGGAAGGAAGACTTTAAACACGGTCCTTGAATCAGTGTCTTCCTGAAGGAACAACGTACAAATTTAAGTACCATTTTACCCGACACCATCTGCGATTCTGCCTGAATCTCTTCTATCGTCTCAAATCTCCTTCCCTTTAGCTGAATTTTCATCTTTGGGAAGAGGAAGAAGTCACACGGAGCTAAATCCGGCGAATAAGGAGGGTGCGGGATGACGGCCATGGTGTTTGAGGCCAAAAACTGCCGAACTTTGAGGGCGGTGTGCGCTGGCGCGTTGTCATGATGCGTCGCATGTGGAGTTCTTCCTTTAGAATCAGCTGACAGGTCCCATAGCCTACCCCAACAATGTCGCACAAGTCGTTGAGGGTACGACGTCGATCTTCGTGAATGCCCTGCCGAATCTTCGTAACATTTTCGGGCGTCGTGCTCGAAGATGGTCGTCCAGAACGCTCGTCATCATCGACAGAGGTTCGGCCGGCCATTTTTAAAACGTGAATGCCACACAAAAGTTTGTGCACGACCCATTGCGGACTCCCCAAAAGCTTGCTTTAGCATTTCATAGGTTTCCATAGCCGTTTTGGCGAGTCTTTGGCAAAATGTGATTTGTTCATGAAAATCCGCCATTCCGAAATGGCTTCTTATCGAATGTGTTATTTGGTTTGAACCATGGATATTTTGTCCAATCGCAAGTGGTGTTGACATTGGGACTCATAAAGCGAGTTTTTCCAGTTCTTTGACTATGTAACGTAACGCCACTCTGATTGGCTCGTCCGCGAAGGTGAAACGTCAGGAGCTGTGAATCCTATTACAGATGTCTCTTCGTGTTGGTATTTAGTTAAAGGGTCTGCGTCTGAAGTTTTGCCGTCTGATTAACCCTTTGAAGCCGAAGATCGTCTGAATATTATTTATGAATTCAGTCCGTACCGCGAAGAAAACACTACACCTCACCATTACGAAAATCAGCTGGTTAACCCTTTGAAGCCGAAGCTCGTCTTCATAATATTTACGAATCCAGACCGTACCGCGAAGAAAACACTTCACTTAACCATTAGAAGTCGAATCAGGCGGTACTACAAAAGAACATCCCGGTCAAAGTCGTGCTGGTTAATGAATCACACGCATTAAAAATGAAATCGAACCGAACTGAATGTCATCCGGCCTTTTGAGTCTTCTGAGCATCAGACAGGCCTTTTTCTGGCTGCACTGCCATCATTCGGTTGTTCCGTCATTGTCTGTGGAAACGTGCTTGAGTTGAGGTCAAGTGAGAGGAAGTCCATGCCATACCTCAAGCTCGTTTGAATTCCAGCTTTATGAATGCGAATGTTCACATTTGAGCAATTTCACTGAATGCCAGTATGAAATAAAATGGCGTCGATAAAAGTAATGCGTGTTTGAGTGAAATATCAACTTTATTATGAAGAAGGAAAAAAAATAATAAAGATCA